AAGAATTGATTGCCTTAAGATGTAATTCTTAGGCTGTTCTCGAAGCAACTTGGCCATCTGATATGACAAACTCCAGTCAATTGATGTGGAATAAATTAAGAAATGCTATAGTTGGAGCTGCTTTATTTAAGAGAGCTGGTAAAAGAAGTGCTAGAAGAAGATTAAGTTCTAATGTAGAATTGCTATCTGTTGATGGCAAAATTGCAAGTATGGAACATGCATTTTCTAGATCTAGTCTTGATAGTTCTCATTCTCAAGACACGGAAGCCGCCCATAGTGATTGTGAGTATTGATCTATTATATTCAATTATTTTTTAGAGGTAGGTTTTCATTTCTTTTTCTTTTCTTTTCTCGCTTTTTTTGCCAATATTGATAGCTACTAAAGGGAGCTCTGTCTCAGATCTGCCAGAATATGGACCTTTTGAAATAAAAAAACTTCCCCGACAAAATAGTATTGTTAAAGATTCAGTAGCATTAAGCGTTATGCCAACAGAGGAATTGGATATGTCGCTGAATCAAAGGTAATTTTTTTTTCATTATCGTATGTAATTTTACTTTTGTCTTTTCCTTATTAATGACTCATATATTTGTTCATCAAATATATTTCCTTTTTATTTTTAGAATAATTCGAAATTTAGAATCACCATTAAAAAGTCCTATTCGTACACCAGTCACAGAAAATGACCCATTAGGTGCTCTAATTAATGATGAAACTCCGATTGTTTCACCTTCCGAAGAAAACGACTCAAATTGTTCAACGAGTACTTTGACTGTTTTTAACAATGTCGAAGAACGTCCAGGAGGACCACTTTTGTTTCGAAGGTAGATCTTGGTTTTATAATTAATAAATGACATATACATTGAAATAATTAAAACAAATTTTTATTTAAATATAAATTGCACATGTGATTATTTTCTTGCTAATAAATTGAAGAATTAAGGAGTGATATTTATATTTCATATAGAAAAATTTTAAATTTGAGATCGTAAAAATCATTTGGCAATTTATATTTTAAATTTCAGTATAATTTATGTACTTCATGATGGAAATAGTAAATTACGTGTATTATATGTATTTCTAGAATTTTGCAAATATAGTTTAATGTTGTTTCTGCTGTTATAATGAAATATACATAATATTACTATAACCCTTGTTTACATTTATATTGCAGTAATATTTTGCCTCGTAGTGCAACATTTCATCAAACTGTAGATGAAACTGGTGTCGCGATAGGTGGACATTTACAGAGGAGTGAAACCATGCCCCATTCTGTTGCACAGCAAGGAGAGCAAAATAAGGAAAGTGAACGGCTAGAAATAAGTAGCCTCTGGTCTCAAAAGGACAGTGTTACTTCCAGTCTTTCAAGCTTAGGCTCTAGTTTGAAACTCAGTTTTGGGTAAGGTAGACACTACTATTTAGTATTATAACTAACATTTACATTTACGATCTTACATCAAGTTAACATCAAGAAAATTATTTCAGGCCTACTAGTTTGACAGGAAAAAAATCCAATGAAATAATACTCGGCGGTTTAAATAGCTTAAAATCTGCTGCTACAACAGTGGTAAAAAAATTTGATGAAATTAAGGAAGCTATCTCTGCAACAAGTACTCCTGTAAAATTGAAGGAGCGCGAATATAGAATACCACATGGTGCATCGCACGAATCGTTGGACTCCATGACAGATGGTTCTTTACAAGATAGAAACGAGCCTCTTAAAGTTACTGGTTTGTAACCTATAGTTTACTATCTTTATGAAAAACAAGACTAGAATAAATAGATATTTTAAAACGTGAATTTTAAACTATTTCCTATTCCATTATAATAGGAGATGGAACTCTAGATCCTTATACGTTATACGATTTGACCGAATGTTTGTATCCCAAAGGATCAAGAGAATTAGATGAACGGATTGCTATTGAACTTGTACTCTCCAGTGCGAGTAGATGTCATCATTGCGCCTCTATTCTTTATGATGAAGAAATAATGGCCGGTTGGCAGCCAGAAGATTCAAATTTAAATACAGTTTGTCAGTACTGTGATAAAGCAACAGTACCTTTACTTACTGTTACGATATTAGATTACAGGTATGTAATATTTATGAAGTTATTAAATATAATTTTTCTGTACATTGCGTGCGTATACTATTTGTACATTTTCATATTTATAAAGATGCGAAGAAAATGAAAAGAAGAATGACCCTCTAATGGGAGCTTTGGTTGAATTATTAGATAAACCGAAAGAATTATTAGAACCTATTACGGTGCCATACTTAAATCCTCTAGTTTTAAGGAAAGAACTAGAAAGTGTTTTAAGTCAAGAGGGTGATGCGTGTCTTACTAAACATAAATTTATTGAGGAACATCCAATAGTATATTGGAATCTTATATGGTATTTTGAAAGGATTAATTTAACGAGTCACCTTCCTGACCTGTGGTTAGGCAACGATAAGAAAAAGGAACAGATAAATTACAGTGCTGTAGGTGTCAAAACTATGTGGGATAACGAAAGGCTTCACATGGATCGCTTGCCTATGTATCTTCAATGGAAGTTAAACATTGCAGATGACAAAACGTAAGTTAAAGTCTCTTCAATAATAGTAATAGTGAGTTTCTTTAATCAGGAAGAATTTTCAAATGATACATATAATTTTTTGTATTTTTCATTTCCTTTTTGTAATATTATTGATTTTATTTTTATAATAATACAAGTGTCATTCTTATTTGTTGTAGATTAATGCAGTCAGTAATCACGAATGTTCGTCGGAATGATTTAGCGGAACCTATAAAAAGAGTGGCCTTAGAAAGAAATAAAAATCAATCAACTAACCAACCGCTATTTTCTATATACCGAGATATTCTGTTTCTGGCATTTACAGTTTTGGGGAGAGGAAATATTGACCAAGGTATGTTAATTTTTATAAAATTAAAATTTCTTATTTGTCATGCACTACGTGTCTACCTAACCATATTTTACATGAATTATTTGTTTGTTTTAGGTGTTTTTGACAGAGAATACACTCTATCTTTGGAAAGACTAACAGAAAAAGAAGAGAAGCTCTTATGCAAAATTGATGCTCCGCCCTCAATGATGTCAGTGTTTTGTAGACATTATTTTAAGCAACTAAACGTGTAAAGTTAAATTTAAAGATATATGAGAAGGATGATGTAACATATTGTGAGAATATAAGAAGTATTACAGATTTATCTGTAAAACTTGATTTTTGGTGTAAAACAAAACAATGTAAAATGTCGAAATTAGTAGTATATTATACATTTTAGATAAGTATTTATGAGTATTAATTTCAAATGATAATTGGTAATTAGCATTGTTTTAAAAATTTAGACTTTTTTCACGATAAAAGATGAACGAATAAAATTTGCCTGAAGCCGTGAATATTTGATTATAGGATAAGGTATTCTTCTTTTCATATTTAAAACATGCGATTACTATCAATAATTTTCTATTTAGAAAATAGTTGCATATACATTTTGTTATTAAAATGTGAATATTCATAGTTGTACCTATCAACGCGATAAGTAAAATCATTCAGTACCAAAGAATCTGATTTGGTCTAAAAACTATGAAATCATTTCTATTTAGTTAAAATAACACAATGGTGAAGAATGCATATAATCCTTGATATTCAAATTATCTTATTACATTTCAAAAATCATTTTCAATACAAAAATATGAATCAAATGTCAATTTTAATCTTGATTTTAATCTTGATTTTAATTTAAGTAAGTTGTGTAGTAAAACTTTTTTTTAAAGTCCATATAATTTCGTTTAGTTGGACAAACACTTCTACGTATAACAGTACAATAATGCACGACCAATGATCAAATCATTAACTTATTCATGAAAATAACAAATACTGTTTATATTTCTATTATTGATATTAATTTGCCGATTATAATATAATAATTGTAAAATAGTTTATAAAATATATTCAAGTTAAGAAGTTTAACACAAGATAAAATAAATAACAAAATATAACGAGCATTATTTGCGATTACAAATGGATATTTTAAATTGAATCTTTGTTACGGAATTTCATATTTATTGCATATAATAATATACAGCTTCGATACTTAAAAATTGCCATCTACTTTCATATGTATTTGCAATTTTTCTAACTATTCTGGATAATTGTCAAATATTTTAATATAGAAATGATCAAATTGGAGGAACATTAAATGAATGTTAGAATATTTTGTATTGTAATTAAAATTTGTGATAAATTATGAATTGAAATTATTTGATTTTGATTGCAAATATTTATAGTGAAATATATGCTTTATTAAATATTGATTTTCAAATTCGTATTTCAATGCAGAAATATTTAATAGAATATAATATTATGTATCCAATATCTGTAACATCATTTTGTCCTATAATTCTTCGTTAAATTATACAATAAATTGATTCATAAAAATTCTATTATGCATATATAATTTAACTCTGCACTTTTCAATATGATCTTGTACAATACAATACCGTGTATTCGTTCGTTATTAAATTATGAATGTAAAACATAAATAAAAGTCAGTTATGGTATTTTACATAAATGAATTTTATCATTACTATATTTTATTAGCTAATCCTTGTTCCATTTTAATTATAAAAATATAATATCGATTATTAATATAAGATAGAATTACTGTAGTAACTAGATGAAATGACTCGAAGGTATATATACATAAACATTAATATAATGAACATGAGTAAAGACAGGAATCTATAAGATTTGCTGATAAATTCAAAATTTTGTTTTTAAAATTTATTTTCTTGAAAATAAAATTTTTATTTTTTATATATAATTACTTTCTCAGTTACATATTCAGATATGGAATTATGTACAATAAAATAATAACATTATCTTTTTGTTTTTCTATATTATATGTAAAACTGAGCATTTTTAATATATTAATATATTAAGGTAAATATAAAAATGATACTAGGATATATGAATATAATAATAAGAACAGCAATACACTTAAAGAACAATAATTTTGTATTAAATTTGGTTTTGCACCCGAAATAAATATATAATCTAGATAGTACATGTCATATTCTACATTATCAAATCATTATAAACTAAAGTATCTTTTCCACATTTATATAAGAGTAAAGGAAAATAAAGACATTTTGGATTTTTTACACAAAATAACATTGCTATTCTGTACAGTATCTCTTATGTCATTTTTCTCATACGTTAATGTAAAAAAAGTGTTCTATGTCAAGTTTATAACAATATTACACTAGATTATAAATCGTACAGCTTTAAAGCTTGCTTTTATGTAGTTTAAAAGTAGCTGCTAAACACAAATGATCACTTCCAATCGCAAAATTAGGTATTGTAGGTAAAGTGTTACACCTTTTAGCTGTGGGTAAATCATATTTTTCAAGAAGTTCCAAACCGCTATAAAAGATATAATCAACAGTAATCCATTCGCCCTGATTCGTTGTAGCTTCTCGTTCTCCGTGACAATTTTGATGTTTGTATACACTATCAAAATGAAAAGGATGTGTTAAAGTACCAGAACAGAATTTTACATGATGATCATGTGCAATTTCTATTGTTTGAAGATCAGTTGTATCTGCGTTTACTTCACAAAGATTTGATGAATTATTTGTTGAAGTGAGTTCTTCTACAGCATGTTCGCTATTTTCCAACTGTAACAAATCAAATATTCAATTTACCTACTTACAATGGAAATTACACACTTATATTTCAATTTTTTTAACACAATACATGTACTAAATTGATGATAGTAAAAAAAAAAAAAACGAATATCAATCAATTTATTATACTTTCAAAGAAAATTCAACAAATATATTTTCTAATATTTATTTGCTTATTTATTATTATTAACATACCATCACTTTATCTGTTCCTTCTCCACTTAATCTATGTTTTAAGACATTAAAATGTTGACAATTATCAGTAACGCAAAGTCGAGGAGGAATAAGAGAATTCGATAGAGATCGGTAATCTGTTCGTTCAAGATTTCTTCCCTTGCCTTGATATTTAAATACTCCTTCTACAATAAATTTGTATACTCCAGAATAGGGTTTTAAGTTGAAATCACCTGTGAGTATGATTGGAAGATATTTGATACCCGTCCTGGAAGGAAAAATTTATTTAATATTTACTAAGTATTCAAAATATATTGTAATTTTATGAATAAAAATTTAAATAAGGTCAATTATTTACATTGTATTCTCTAGGAAAGCAATTCTTTCAATTTCTGCTAAAAGAAGTTGAGCTTGTCCTAGTCTTACATCATTTCTTCTTGGATTGTAGAGTAGATGAGTTGTAGCAATCACCAATTGTATTTCAGGACTTTTTCTAACTGCTAGTTTTGCAATAATTCCAACATTATCTCTACTTAATAATTCTATGCCAGGTTGATAAAGTTCAACCTTTGCATAATCCAATAAAATAAGTTGATCAGATCGATACAGAAATAGTAGTCCATCTTTCTTATCATTTGTTCGCTTTTTATATAAGTAGTTATAACCCAACTCCTTGAATGGAATCAAAAATTCTTCTAAATGTTCTTCTTGCATTTCTTGAAGACAAATGACCTAAAGAATTACATAATTTCTGTAAATATTCATATATATTTAAAATTTATTTAATATTATTTTTTATCTATTCTTTATTTATATTTTATTACTTTTGATAGTATTTCAAAGTAAATTTTTAGAATATTAATATATAATAGTCCTAAAATCTTAATCAGATTAGAAAACTATAACTAGAAATTTTATTATAAATTTAAAATGCTAGAAACGAAAATTAAAATTAATTGTTTTGCAAGTCTATAAAAATATTGTACAAAAAGTATTCCAATTTTATTGCCAATTTTTAATATTTGGGTTATCAATAAGTCTCTTCATTTTTACATTACAATAAAATTGGAGATATTCTAATTACATATGCCAACATAAAAGTAATAAAATTTTATATAAATAAATAAAAACTAAATTGTAATGAGACTTGGAATATAATATAATAATATAGTGGCATAATCAAAAATTAGTTTTTCCAGTTTCACATATTTATAAAAAAAATATTATATATATTATATATATTATAATAAAAAATATTATCTAATAAACTATTATAAAACTATTCAATATATATAAGAATAAAGAATACAATCGTTATGAATGATGCAATAATTTTAACAGAAATATAATTTAAAAATTCATTAAAAAATATATGTGTTTAAATAAAATATGATCCAAAACAGTTAGATAAAGAAAAAATAAACATCTTAAGCGTTTCAAACTGATGCATTATTTTATAAAATAATTAATAAATAATAAGTAATAAAATTTTATAAAATAATTAAAAATAATGATATTGGATAATGATCCATCTTTTTCTTTAGCCGCAAAAAGACATTAGAAAACAAAAAGACATTACAAAAAAAATTAGAAAAATCGAACAATTATCTTATCAGATAACATACAACCGTATAATGTAAAAAATTTATTCAATGAAATATGCTAGTTACAGAAGATGTTTGATTTTAATCTTCTCATGCAAATATTGAAACAAAGATATGAAACATACTAAAAAATTTTTTAAACAAAAATTCTACTATAACGAGACACACTTATATTTATTTGACCGTGCAGTGTAGAAATTAGAAGTACCATTAAAATCATTGTAAATCAAATTATAATGAACAACATGTGAATGTAATCTGATTTGTATCTCATCTGTGCTTCTAAATTATATAGGAATATACAAAATTTATTAATTTAAAAAACTAACATTAGCTTGCATTCCTAAAATCTCTTCTAAGAGAAGCTGCCTCCTAATCTCCCAAGATAGTGCCTGCTTGTCATGTGCCGTATATAAAAATGAATAAGTTTCCAGTAGATATTGTGCCAAAATGTTGAAGGATAATACTCTCAGAATAAAAGATTCTTCAGAATTAGAGGTCAGCTTCTCTGGAAAAACGATACAATGAATATCAAATATTTCTTTTTACTGTACCTTTCTTAAGGTTCTTACCTTTCTTAAATCGTTTCCATTGTCGCATTGATTTATATCTTTGTTTGTCAGACATATACTTATCCATTAAGAACATTGGAGATTCAACACATGTATTCGTCTCAAGTGTTTGTATGTTACTTTCACATGCTAAATTTTCTGATGTAAAATTTAATGGAATTTCATAATTATTAGAATTGTAATATGTTTCCAAAAAAGGATCCATTGATGTTTGACTTAATTTCTGTTGTGTAGCTGAATTTGCCATTAAATTATAACAAACAGATCTCTCAGATATTAACACGTTTTTACAAAAATTTCTCAAAAATACTTGTTTTACAGCTAGTCCGGACATACGAAGAGGTAAAGATGGAACAATATCATAATAATGATACTGAAACAATAACAAAATTATAAAATATTAATCTTTAAAATTGTTATGGAATTAGTTTTATATTATTACAATTTAAACATATTGATAAATCCTGCTGTCTTTAAATACTATTCATATTTACAATATGAATATAACTTTTGACTAATACTTTATTTTTTACTTCTTCCTAATGTATTTATGATAATCTAAGAAAGTACATCACAATCTTTTATAGCATGATTTATTTTCTATAATATCATAATAATTAATAATAACTAGTCTGTTTATGCACTTATGAAAATAAATATGTAATAATTTATAAATATACTTGTTGTTATAATATTAAAAATATATTAAACACATTTTTATTTTGTTTCTATTTCTTTGCATTCATAAAATTTACATTAACATTCATAATCTATTAACAACTAAATAATGAACAATTGTGAACTAATAAAAAATATAATTTTATTCATTTTTTTTAACATTATGTATGTGTCTTGTCAAAATAAATAAGATATATACTACATATAAGTTTATAACATATAATATATATTTTAAAAATATATATTTTATATTTTTCAATTGCTCCTAAATGTAAATGAAATTCAATATTTCAATCAATTCTTTATAATGTAAATATATATGTAATATTATAATAATATATAACTATCTTATTAAGTAACAATTCATATTTATTATAAATATATAATACAGTCTTTTTTATATTAAATAAGAATTGTAAACTATATTCCTTCAAAACTAAGATATAAATTCAATAACAAATCTTTAACAACAAAACCTTCAATAACAAAAATGCTTTATCTACATTTCCAAAACTCAAACTGTAATATATATATTATATATTAAAATATATTTATATATTATAATTATAATTATACATTATAAAATATAATGTATTAAATATATATTTAATAAAAATATTATAATTTAAACATCTTATCAACTTAAACATTTAATTACCTCAAAAAATATTTATTATATAATATATAACTTTTTTATTTAAATTACTTATAATTTAAATGAAATTAATGTAAAAAGAACTAGCTTCTTAGCATTAATTATGTTATTTCACTTTTATAATATTTCGTATAATACGCAAATGAAAAAATACTTAAAAAATTCTAATAAGTTAATAATCATTATTTAAAAATCAGATCACGATTTTACACTTATATTACTTTGTAATTGTATTTTATTACTTTAATGAAATATTTTTGTTGATTCCATTATTCTATTATTGCTAATACAGGATTATTTACAATTCAGTGAAAAAATTAATAAAAATATATTGGCATCTTTTTAAAATAATGCAAATACTAGCATTTGTAACATTTATACAAATATAGCAAAATTATAAAAAATAAAAAGAATAAATTTATAAAATCACGCGATACAAAACTGCAAGACATGTATATATGTATGTATGTAATATTATAATTTTCTACAAAGTAAAAAGCGTACTATACGATGTTTGCATTAAAAATTTTTATTTATATAATTTTTATAAACGATCTCGTAACATTATGAATATAGTTCAATAAAATAAATAGTATTAACCTTATTGTACAGTATGAAATGATACATAGAAATGGGAAAAATAAAAAAACGAATAATGTTACCATACCTCAGATTTGTAACGAAACAGTTTGAAGAAGATGTCAAGTCTTTTAACATAAATTTTCCGTGGTAACTTGCTAGCTGTATTCATTTATTTATCAAGTAGTGGGGATATTAACGCATAACTATACGCAGGTGCATAGGTTAGGTTATTTCTGTTGTCAGAAACGTAGGCATATTTTTCCTAGTGAAATACAGATACTATGATACTTGTCACAATGCACACATACAATTGATCCAACAAATGATTTCTAAATTTCGTAATCATTTGATTGTATTCAATATTTATATTTTAATAAACTGCATACCAAATGTTTGAATAACAGTATAAACGACATAATTGAAATTGCATCTTGATAAAAAAAAGAATTTATCCACAGATGATTAGATACGATTCTATTAAAAACTTTAAATATGTAATTATTTCTATTCAAAAAATCATATAACTCGTTACATCAAATTCAATTCATTAATAATTTCCATCCAAATTTTAAATTTCTGTAAATAATTGCTCATGTGTATTTTATTAAGCCATTATTACTGGGCAAAAATATAAAAATATGTATACAATTATCTGATAAATGAAAGATAATGTTGTGATGTACATATTATATGACAACAAGTTACATTTGATTGATATAGAACTATTCAGAATTTATAATCAATAATTCTAAAAAATATTTCAATAATTCTGCCCCTGAGCTGTTTTTATTGTGTATTCCCGTAGTTTGATTTTATCCACAGACGAGCTACTCTGGAACAACTCTGACCTCTTACGGGGCTTCATAATACTTGTTCTCTGAAATACAAATTGTTTAAAAATGAGGAATATATGTATATACCTCGTATATTTGTTTATTTTACATTTTACCTCTGGGTTTATTTTCTTTCTCAGATGAATTTCGTTTCGTTGAATTTGTAATAATATTTGATGACATATATTAATCGTTGATGAATAGAAGTTTTTATTTTAAAAGATATAGAAGTTTTTTATGAATATCTTTCATTTACTAAACAATTAATTTCAACAAATTATTCTTTTCGTTTTATTGCTTATAGTTTTATCTCCAATTCTTAATAAGAGAAATAACAATTACTTGCCAATCGAGTATATGTATTTCGAATGTTTTCGAACAATTCCGATTGCCGCGCCGATTTGCTTGCGCAGACTATCGCAAAAATTTATATAAGTGAATTTTAATAGACATGGAATATTTATATAAAATTCAAATTACGATTACTCACCTCTATGATTGTAGCATTGTTTTCACTTCAAAAAGAAAAAAAAAAAAAATGCGCTCAATGCTAATGTAATTAAAAATATTCATCCGATATGTTCATTTTCAGGATTTCAATACAAGTTTGAGAAACTTTTTACGTGATCTATATTACTACATCTATAAATTACGCATTATATTATAATAAAACGCAAAATTTTATAGTAGTATAAATATTTTATCAATAGATAGCATTAACTTATGATGTGCTATGATACTTGTGCGTAGTCATTTTCATTTGGGAAGGCTTGGTAATTGATCATTTTTCAAATATTACTAGTCTGAAATGTCACTATTTGGAAAACAATATGAACATTACTATTTTCGAATACTACTACCTGAAATATGATACCAAGATGGGATATAAATATATCAACATAACGCATGAACATCGTAAAACGTTTATGCGTTTTAATTTGTTAATTGTTAGTTTAAAATGTAGCTTCAATCTAGGCGTTTTCCATATAATGATATGCTTGTTTGACTCTAATATGAATAATAGTAGTCTCTCTTCCTTTGTACCTCTTCTTCATTACAATTATTCTTGTTGTCATGATGCATTAAAATTGAGAATATACTTTCAATCATTATTGCAATCAATTGAATAAAGAAATACTATTTCACATATTATATATGGTATTACTTTATTATTTAAATACGTAAATAAAAAATTTTATAATTCTGAAACATTGTACACGGTTTGCAATAATCATCAATTTTACATAATCTTTTTCTGTTAATAGTACTTCTCAAATATTTTTGTATTGCAAGTTTTAATATATAATTTTTGAGAAATACCTTCTGACAGATTTTGTAGTTAATATTACGATACATAATATAAACTAAATAAAGAAATTTCCACTGAGTTATATGAAAAAAGTTAAACATAAAAACATTTCAACATTACATGCTAAGATAACCATGAGCTTGATTTCGATGGCGACCAATCAAGTATGCAATCAATACTATAATCACTAATCCTGCCAGTGCACAGCCTACTGCTATTGGTACAACATCCGGTGTATCAAAAGCGCAATCTTTAGCTGAAAATTAATAATAAATAGCGATAATTAATGAATATTACTAATATTACTGATATGTAAAAACACGTACATAACAAATAGTTTTTTATGATTTTGTTTTAAATAGCAAAATAAAAGAAATTAATCTATAATATGTAGAATATTCAATAACAAATGATAAGAAATTTAGTTGATACTACTTAATTAATTAGTCAAAATAAGATAAAAATAAAGAATAAAGAATAAAGAAAAAAAATAAAGAATAACAAAATTGTATTAGTTATCGACATTTAAAAATTAATTATAGAAATGCGATAAAATTTTTTATACAAATTATATAGAGTATTCTGAACGATACAAATCAGTTATCCAATGATATTTAGTGGGTAACTTGTACATCTTGTACAGACCATAGAGAAAAAGTCTATATTTTATAAGAAACATTATAGATTATTTACTTATATAGTTAGAGAACTTCATAAGAGAATGTTAAAGATCACTGTATAAAATTTTTGAATTTCTTCACTTCGGTAGATATTATCTTATGAAGTTCTGTAAAGTAAATATAAATGCACAATTTATATTTTTTGTAAGGAAGTACAGAATTATTGCACTGAATTTTATAGTTCTTGTAATTGTAGTTGGTATAAAGTAAGTTGCTACACATGTATCATTATATAAACTATTCTGTAGAGTAATCAAATCCTTCAAATTTTTAAAACTAATAATAATGTTAATAATAAACTAATAATAATAATAATAGTTTTGTAAAACTAATTTTCTATAACTAGTAATCAAAGCTTCAATATTTTTATTTTTTTTATCTTGTTTTTAATTCTTAAAATTTCTATCATCTTTTGTTACATATTCTGCACATTATATAAATAAATAAATTTCTATATGTGCAACTTATTAGTAGTACCTAAACTACCATACTTACCTAAACCAAAAACAGTAGAATTATCTACTTTGAATGCTTGAAACTGGAAACCTGATACAGTTAAATAACCAAGTGTTTCGTTAGTATTATTTTGTTTTAAGTTGAGCATTTGTTGTTTCAAGCATCTGTAGGAATTGGATAGTTTCACCACAAAATCATGTGCCTTGTGTATCAGGGTCATTGATGTATCTGTTAAGAAGAATACATTTATATATGTATAATAAGAATATAAAATGGAAATACTAAGGTTGTATAATTAGCTAACACATACAATTATATGCTAATAATAAAAACATTTCTTACTTAGTGTTGTAGCTGGAAAATCTGTTGGTGGAAGGATGACTTCCAAATGATGAAGAGAGTATCCATCAACATTTTTCATAAAATGCAGTGTCATACTACCATTAGTTATATTTTTAGAAGCCCATTCTAATGTCAAAGTTTGTTCTAACTCTCCACAAGATCCATTTGCTTTCGTAGTCACATTATCAGTTGGTACATCAAATACTATAAAAGATTTCTGAAAAGTCCATTTTTAATTATTTTATAATCTTGATTAAGTTGGATGGCAACCCAACATAGATATGGGAATTATGGATTTTCCATTGTTGTATATGATGAGTCAAATTTTGAAATTCAAAGGCAAATCATTATTGAAAGTCACATTTGTTAAAATTGAAGTAAGACTAAAGACTTTCTTTTATATTATTATTTAATTTACAAATTTGTACAAATTCTATCTGATGAAACTCTTAATCCCCACATTGTCAATATGTTGAAATTAAATACTGTTATATATAAGCTACATATACATTCTAATTTATATAATATGATAATATGTAAATAGTATAATATATTTTATTTATTTATTACTTAAATAATACAAACCGTGTTATTATCATTGATGTAAGAGATATTGAACATTACAGACATCTGTACTATAATACAAATTTCATCCGTTTCACTAACAACCACCCATTTGCCAGCACTATGAGAAGTTGAAGTAGACTTTACTGGGGAATACATAACTGCTGACTTCATTGTTGTATGTAAAATTTTTTCAGATGTTTCATTTGTACGAATCAAAACATTTGCACTTGATAATGTAACAGTAGAATGATTGGGAATAACTGTAGAACTTTGAACAGAACTTTGTTTAATTAAAACTTCTGCTGATTTCAAATTATTTTTATCTGTCACAGGTTCTAAAGTAGCTGTCACAGATTCCAGAGGAACTGTCTTATTTAATGAAATATTTGCTTCAAGATGTTGCTCATTTTGCAAAGATATTCCATTCTGAACATTCTCATCTTTGGATAAAATATTTTCTTGTCCTTCACCTGTTTTAAAACGAATCAAATTTAAGATACAAGAAATATAAAAATACTCTTATTACAAAATCTTACATAATAAATCCACTGCATTATTAATTTACATATTAATAATAAATATATATTTTTATATGAGCTAAAATAATTTCTTAATAACCTATACTTATTAATTATAAATATATTAATTGTAAAAATTTCTTTATAAAATATTATTTTAATTATTATAAAAAATTAATTCTTAATTATTAATCCTCTCAATTTCAGATACTTTTTATGATAAAGATTATTTCGGACTATATTTCTGTTTCCTTGATATATATTATATCAACAGTATATATTGATATATAAAATATTATTTATAAAGTAAATTATTTTAATATTATACCCAATATATTCAAAAATAAAAAAATGTTTAAAAGATAATATTTATATTTTATACATAAATCTTTAACTTAGAGAACATTTTTTATTACTTGATATAACACGATTGTGAATCATGAGTAATAAAAATATGTACAAATATGAATACAGAACTCTTTGGTTAAATCAGTGAAATAATATAGTAATATAGTAATCAGTAATAGAAATAAGAAATTTAAAACAGTAACAGGAATTATTTTCATACTTTAATCCAACCAACATTTTTCTATCTCGATTTTTAAATTCTTAAATTATTGATAATTAATTTATAATAGTAACAGATCTTTTCAATTTGGACATTCAATTCAATAATTTTATTATTATATTTTTTCTAACATTTTGTCATAAGTTACAATTTTACTAACAGTAGTATGTCATATTTAATATATTAAATGCATTAATAAAACTGAAATGAAACGAATAAGACGGCTTTTGAAAAACTTTATGAGTTTCTGGGAAGAGAGCAAATAAAAAATGTAATTTCATGATAAATAAGAAACTGTTCGTCGTTTTTTTTGCAAAATATCAAAACTGTATGCATATTTGAAAATTCATACCCAGAACGTGAACTGCAGTAAAGCAAAGGAGTAGTAAAAACTTTGACATCATTAGAAATTCTGAATAGCTATAAACAAGCGAAAATTACTGAAAATTTGAACGTTTATAACGATTAAGGAAATTAAACAGCAATATAACTTGATGAAAAATATGTGAAAATACACTGCGTATGACGACAACGTAAATGTCGATAAAATTCTGTACTTCCTTGAAAATGTTGTTCACAAACACATATTGGACAAACTAAATCATACACATATGTATTTTCATTAAAGGTTGGTTCACATTACTGTATGCTAGATATGTCGATTTATTAAATAGTAAGAAAACAAAAAAATTATACAACGAAATTATTCATTTAATTATTAAATAAGAAAATTAGTATCTGTAATGAAATAAAATAAATATATATATATTTTTTAATGCTTTAATTTAATACTAGAATCATTTGAATAACAATAATTTATCATAGTATCATATTTGAATAAAAAAAATATATCTCTTCTTTGTAACTGAATTAATAAAATTTGCTAAAAATTTAATCGAATTAAAATTACTTAAATATACTTTTAAAATAGGAATTTACAACACTATTTAAATATAATAAAATTACGTAACAGGAAATTGTTATATATATATATATTTCATAAAATAATTTATACAATGTTTTATAATTAATGATAATTAATGACCGGCAATAAATTATTAAAAGAATTTCTAATGGATAATTTTTTGCATATCCTTTAATTAGCCAGCATTTGTTTATATATCATCATAAAAATAGTAATGTGTACTAATAAATAATATGTGCTATATATTATATATATACATATATATATATACACTTCTATCTGCTGTGATATAAATATATACATTATATGCAATATTAAATTTGCAATCAAACAATTTGTAACAAAGAAAATGAAAAATAATACGTGAAATAATAAATAGAAAATTGACATATAACAAAATTAAATATTGTTCGAGCAAGTATTTCGGTTTTTTGAGTAGAATTATTTAAACATTTTGTAGATTAACACTCCGCCTACTGTGTCAGAATCATTTTTGATCCATATTGAGAGCTACTCGAATGCAATAACGCACACAATGATGGGAGCTTATTTAGTAGCTGAAACCTGATCGCACTAACACACGAACACCAAGTAACTAACACGTGTCCGCCAAAGTGTCGAAGTAACGAAGACTGAAGACAAAGGAATTAGTTTTTGGTAACGCTCTGAGGAGGAAAGATGTGTGCAGCAAATCGAAGCAATTATTATTTTTGTTCTTTTTTATTACTTTTTTCCGTTGTTTCTATTTGTTTCCATTTGTTGACGCAATGCAAGATTCCGAAGTCGAAATGCAAGAAGATATCAGAAACTGTGGATAATGTAGTTTTAGAAAACCAGGAATTTGGACGTAAATGGCAACGTATTGGACCTAGCAAGGCGATTGTCTTTCGTCAATGTATAAATATAAATAAATATAACTTTATTATTCATGTGATTATTATTTGTTCCTATATGCTCCTACATTTTCCTATATGAGTCGGGTTTTGTCATATGTTTGTATGTGTCGGTGAGGACCGATATGTATATATATATATATTTTTTTTTTTTTATTGCCTGGTAGAATTAACTTAAGATATAGACTTACGCTTAAAGTATGACTTCATTCATATTAATTTAAAAAAAAATTATGCTGAATAATAAATTTTTATTTGCATTGAATGTCAAGTTTATTCTATTCTTATTCAACATCTTAGAAGTGTGGAATAGAAAAATACATTGGTCAGTAACTGAGACACTGATAAGCCTATTGTGTACCTCGTATGACTTTATGACATTAAGTTTATTTTGTATCTGTTATTGCTTTCAATAATTGAATTGAATATAATTATTTCGTTCGCCATAATTAAGTGAGGGCGTTACTCTTATTATCTTTGAGCTCGATAATTCATAATGTGCTACACGATGTCGCATCTATACTTTTCTTATTAATGGTAGTAATTGTCAATGGTAATAATCTTGTCATATTTTGCTGTTATTTGAACACGTGCTGTAATTGCAATTGTAGTAAACGAGTAATTGATAATTTTTTGCGTAAAACAATGGGGAAAGGGCGAAAGCATATACCAAAAAGAAATTTTGCAGAGAAAAGGCGTGAAAAACAGAAGGTATATATTATAAATCTCCCGGTTGCGAAGATTTGCAGTTATGTTTATTTTATACTACATACATATCATTCTCTTATATGTTGAAAATAATTGCTAACAAAGTTTCTTTTTATATAAATGGTACACATATAAAATTTTTATACATTATGCAGAAAAAAGATGAATGGGATATTACTCCACATCACAATTATGCAGACATTATCAGAGAAAATAAGGATTTTGAAAATTATTATAAAACTGAACAAATTGTTCCTGAAGAACAATGGGATTCTTTTATCAATACCATGCGGAAAAATCTTCCAGTGGCATTTAGAATTACAGGCTCAAAAGTAGAAGCCAAGGCATTACTTGAAACTATTAAGGGAGATTTCTTTAAAGGAATTTTAACAACGCATATGGAAGATGATTCAAAGAATAATGAGGAGACTAAACCCAAGGACATATTACAATGCTTGCCATTTTATCCTGATGGATTAGCTTGGCAACTACAATTAACTAGAAAAGATATTAGAAGATCTGAAGCTTATTTTAGATTACACAATTTTTTAATTGTTGAAACAGAAAGTGGAAACATTAGTAGACAAGAAGTAGTTAGCATGGTGCCACCTTTAGTACTGGATGTAAAACCTCATCATAAGGTATACTGATTTAATAATATGTGTATTATATTAAATTTAATTTTAAAGTAATAAAGAATAATTATTATTTAAAATAGGTTTTAGATATGTGCGCAGCACCAGGATCAAAAACAACCCAACTTATTGAAATGATTCATTCTGACGAGGAAAGTGCATTTCCAGGTATTAATAAAATTTTAAGTATTTACAAACAAATTGTGCAATTGTTCTATTGATATTTATTTGTTTACAGAGGGATTTGTAATAGCTAATGATCTTGACAATAATCGTTGTTACATGCTTGTACATCAAGCAAAAAGATTAAACAGTCCAATTATTTTAATCACAAATCATGATGCATCAGTATTACCTAATTTCACTATTACTAAGCCAGATGGTACAAAAGAAAGATTAAAGTCAGTAAAATATAAAAATAAAATACTTCTATTTATAAAGTACTGTCATTTTTTACATTTTATTACAGATTTGATAGAATACTTGCTGATGTACCATGTAGTGGTGATGGTACAATGAGAAAGAACCCTGATATTTGGTGTAAGTGGAGTCCAGCAAATGGTAACAATCTCCATGGGTAAATGTTATTTCATTTTAAATACTGCACAGTTTAATTAATAAAAATAATTTATATCTATCAATTTAAAGAATTCAGTTTAGAATAGCCAGAAGAGGCTTAGAACTTTTAACTGTTGGAGGAAGAATGGTATATTCTACTTGCTCATTAAATCCAGTAGAAAATGAAGCAGTACTTCACAGACTTCTTATTGAGACTGGAGATTCTGTGCGATTAGTTGATTGTAGAGATTTAGTACCTGGATTAGTGTGTGACCCAGGTATTGTATATTGTGTACTGTATTGTATAAGTTCATTTTTGCATCAGGTATTTAACAATATATATACTATATAGGCATATCACATTGGCTACCAGCATCAAAAGATCTACAGTATTATAAATCGTGGGAAGATGTACCTGAACAATGGCAAACACAAGTACGTCCGAAGATGTTTCCACCAAAACCAGAGGATGCAGCTAAATTTCATTTTGAAAGATGGTAACTGATAGAAACTGATGTTTTTAATACTGTTGTTGATTTACTCACATAATAATAACAATTTTTCAATAATGCAGTATGAGGATATTACCACACCATCAAGATACAGGTGGGTTTTTTGTTGCTGTTTTGGAAAAAGTAGATCACCTACCATGGGAACGCGCATCACAGATGAGCGATGAAGTTACTCAAGTGATTGAAGACGGTAACGCTGAATTGAGTTTGGAACAAGAATCGAAGAATATACATGAAAAGAGGACATTTGACGATATGAACAAATTAATTGAATCCAGAAGAAAACGTAGAAGAATTGCTCGTGGGTTTAAGGAAGATCCATTCGTTTTTTTCAACGATGATAAAGAAGAAGTCTGGTCTTCTATTAAGTGAGTGGAAATTTTTTTTTTAACTTCCCATTTGTTTAATTTATTTGTAATACCGAAATTTTTAGAAAGTTTTATGATATATCTGATAATTTGGATCCTCGCTGTTTATTGGTGCGATGTATTGGTAGAAAGAAGAAAAATATTTATTATACATCACCTGAGATACGTAATGTTGTGTTATCTAATGAAGATCAAATAAAATTAATAAATACTGGTGTAAAAACATTTGTACGCTGTGACAATAAAAATATGGATTGTCCATTTAGACTTGCACAGGAAGGAATACAAAGTATCATTAAATATATTGGCGATAGTAGGAAAATTAGGATATCTAAAAATGACCTAATAATGTTGTTACAAAACAATAGTCCTCATACACCACCTGAAATTGTGAAACTTAATCCAGAAACGCAAGAACGGTTACAAAACTTTGGTAATATACTTTGTAGCATTGAACCAAATGTTCAGTAAATTTCATTATAAATATTGTTTCCTTTCTTGTTTTAGCAACTGGAAGTTGTATACTTGTATATGAAGAAGAAGAAACTGAAAATCCATTAAAGTTACAGATGGTAGGATGGCGAGGTACAATGTCTCTGAGAGCATATGTTCCTGTACATGATGCAATTCATTATTTACGTTTATTGGGAGCTGACTGTTCGATGTATGGTATGTATTTATGAGATATTGTATTTAGAATATTATTATTATTTGGAATTGTTATTTCAGAGAAAAATAAATTCAAAGAAAATCGTGTTTCTCAAGAAGATTCTATAGTTGCTTCTGAAAAGTTGAGTAATGAGGTTACTAGTGATGCTGATGCAGTGGACGTTGATATAAAGAAAGACATAAAATCAGAACCTTCGGACGAATTAAAAGAATGACACATAATTTTGTAATACAAAGTGATGTTCCTTTAATTTCTTTCAGAGATATTAATTTCAGTACGTTGTAAGAATAAGTAAAAAATTTGCATTTATTCAAAATTTAGTAAAAGTGCGCCATTTATTACGAAATTCTAACAAGGCTGATATTTAATACGACACGATGAATTGTATCTTATAGGAAAGAAATAAAATGTTTTTATAGCAGGACAAAGAAATAATCGTTAATTGATGGGAAATATCTTTTGTTTTACTAATTATTTTCTGTGAAACAATTTATGAAATTACATGTAATTTTCATATAATTTGAGCGATACTCTTTCCTTTTGTATTTTCGGCCACTAAATTTGGGATAGTTTGTTGATTATAGTACAAATATTGTTATAAATATGGCCGGATGTAGAGGAATCATTAATTCTGAAATGGCTACATGCCATAGTGTTTAACAATATATTATTAAATCGTAGAGAATTTGTTTGTTTCTACTGTATATTAAAGTTGGAAAAGATGAATATCTATTGCCTCGATGATATTCGCTTTAAATTACAATACTCGTTAGATTCTCTTTCGTTTTCAAATTTAGTTGATAATAAGGTTTTCTAAATCCTACAGATTAGAGGATTTCAATTTATGATTAAAAATTTGTTTAACATGGAGATTTCTACTAATAAAGGACGGGTTTTGCTATAAAAAACATTCAAATACAAGTATATAAATATGAAAAATGCTCATAACATATAGATAAACTATAAAAGAAAACAAAAGAAAAACCTTTTCTAAAATTTTTTGCACTCTGAAAGACTCGAAGTTGACGGTTGACGCTAGTAATCTCTACTAGTTGGAGTAGTTATTTTTCCGCTGAGATTCTGAGAATTTGATGGAGATTTTGAACCTACAAACGAAACGTATTTCGCATTCATTAACGCATTGTATTTAAGTAATATTAAACTTACAGCTTTTTCCTGATTTATTTCGAGGATTATTCGTACAGGGATGATCACCCATCAGATGTTCTCTCCATTTATTTTGATTGACAAGAATGGAACATAATGGACAACGATCATAGCCTTCGATAGGTTCTGTAATAAAAAATGATATCTTTGGTAGTTTATCTTTTTCACTGTACTTCATATACTGCATCATTTTTTCATACTTGTACACTTGCTAGATTTTCTGTGTTCTTCGAAAGAATCTTCATGAATGGCTTGCTTGCATATATCGCATTTGTCGTAATTGCTTCTCATATCACATTCATCTGAAATGCATATTTTTTACGATAAAATGCATATTTTTTACGATTAAATGCTACACATTAAACACAAACGAACAAAAGGAACAATACTCACTTAACAAATGTAAGTTCAAGTACGAAATTTCCACCACTTGCTTACATGCTTCGCATTTCGTTAACATAGGGCAACTTCTCCAATAATGAATGTTTAATCCCTCTTCGGAATATCCTTGTCCTTTGGAAAGGCAAAATATGCATATCCTAAGAAAAAAAAAAAAAGGAATATATTTTTAACGTATATGAAATAAATATTTATAGTATGATCATATGTTACTCACTTGTCACCCTTATGTTCTGTACTATTCTCGGACGGAGATGTTATACTTGTTGAGCTTCCAGTACTCACAACAGGACTCGTTCTTGAAGGAGATTTCGTTAAGTTCGCCACATTATTTTCCGTGGATTTCGTCCGTGTGGGTGTCGTTGTTTTGTGACTCGCTTCCGCTTCTTTTTTTCTCTGTAACAAATAAGAAATATCGTTAATATATATAATTTCATTTTTTCACCGGAAATTTATACGAAGTGGTTATTAGATTTTAATACAATTTTCTAAATAATTAGATTATATCTATTTAGATAACAGTAATGTCATAATATGAAATTAATAATATATGTATGTTACAGATTGATTGGAGCCTTCGGTGCAGAAAGATAAATTCATGTACGTCGAGAAAATCAAGTAAAATATTCTAAAAAATTAATATCCGATTAAACTACGCTATAAAACATATTTTATTTTATTTTGAGATCAGTCAGTCTGGCGATTTAGTGAAATAGGATAAAACATTGTCATTCAAACTGATATAATATGATTGAAAACACTTTTGGAAAATCTGTATAAATTAGTCAAATCTCCGCTTAAAGATATAGTATCAAGATTTTGATAAAATCTTTGATATAAGAGATTTTTTCGCATTATAAAAATATAAACAATGTATTGTATGTATTTTGTAAAAACAGCGTATATCTAATTATATCTCAATTTTTCAAGGAACCTTTACCTGAAGATCAATGAGATCGAATTCGTGAAAAAGTTGACGATACAGCAAGTTCCTCCTGGTAATATCATCGTCAGGAGGCAATTGCTTACGGACCAATCTGGGATTCACCTTGTACACCAACACCAAAATCCTTTCAGAAACCTTCCTAACCGCTTCCGCTGGATGGTGCAATCCCGAAGAACCCAATTCTGACAAGGTCCGACAAGTGAGTCCACTACAACAGTTACAATGTCTTATCAGAGTAATTGCGTTTTAACGGTTCAGTCTTAACAATGAGGCTGGACCTCTGCCAATGACGTCAACAAATAAAATCATATCAGTCGTCACAGGCAGTGGTCTAACGTTCTTTAGTTTTCTTTATGTTTGATATTAAAAGTCTATTGTTGAGATTACGTTATTTTGAGTCACCTTTGTTTGTCAGTGGATATTCCGTGGTTCAGAATTAACTGCTCCACCATTTCTAGTCTGCTAAGGGCTAATCTTTGATGCGTGCTACTACTAACGGGTCTTGTCAAGTGTACGGGTATAATATGCAACTCTCTGACGCATTTACAATCTGCCATACTGAGTATCGTATGCACTGCCATATTGTGAATCCTTGGAGTAGTGTCCCCTGACTTTGTCAACAACTCAGGGAGTAGTCTTTCTACGCTTCGTGCAATTTCCGTAGAAGATACTCTAAAATGGCAAGAATTTGTAATCCGTAATAATTTGTAACATGGATATGTAAATTTTAAATACAACAGAGCTTCTCATATTCGAATTAATAGGGAGACAAAAATCTTCATGTTACCAAGTTCATGTTTAATTTTTTCTCAACGTTTCGCCAAATCATAGAACGTATTGATATTTTGATTAATTTGATATTTTGAATAATAAAATAACCATTCTTCTGATATTAAAGTATAAATACCTAAATAGAAATCGAGAAAATTATCAATTTCAATATTCTTCAGTTATCGAATTAACTAAATTCTTAAAACTCTTTGTAAAGATACGTTCTTTTTATTTTTCAAACCATCTATTACTAGTAAATATTCTGGATTAAATATTGGATTATTCGATTATGAGAGATTAAGATGTAAATAATATATTAATACCTATCAGTTGCAAATTCGGAGAAGAAAATTCGAATTAATTGTGCTGCTAGACTATACACGCTAAAAACTTTATCTCTGAGAGCTCTGTGCAATAGTAAAATCGCAGCTCTTGCTGTTTTATTCGCGGAATGTTTGGAAACTTCCGGATCGAAAGTCTTCAGTTCCTCCTTCAATTGCATCAGACCTTCTTCCTTATCCGTGAATTGTTTCGAGTAAAATTTCTCGACCTAAACGACGAGTGTCATTAATGATCATCGTAGTAAAGAGTTAATTGAAATAATTATCTAAAATTCGCATTACCATTTCCATTCCAAAAACAGCGATAGGTAAGGCAGCTTGCTTCTTTTCCCTGTCATTCAACTTTGATACCACTTTCGTTTCTGTATTGTCCATGTGACATTCTCTTGTAAACTCGTTCGTGTGCGAACTGAAATGCAATTGAATGTAGCTTCTATATTATTGCTTTCCACTTTTTCTTTGTCTTACTGTCTTAAAGCAGGAATCGTCCTCTCTTCGTAAGCTTCGTAGCTGGAACGAAGCGCCGGTCCTGCAGATTTGGTTTTTCTTCTGAGAGAACCTTTGTTGCAGTTGTTTTGTCTCTCCACAACACCGTTCGTAGGACTATCTGTAACCTCTGTGAAAGTAAACGAGAGTCGAGCTATTGATTATTATTACTTTAAATTACTTTACATTGATTTATTATCCTATTGTATTATTATTTTATTTATCGGCCATGGCAAATTAATTTACCAGGACTGTTTGGTTTCTGATGCAGAGGCGAGACAGGTGGTTGATGTGCTGGACCAGTCGGCGATATAGCTCCATCGCGGTTAGGTGGAATCACCAATCTCGGTGGAGATGTAATATCTTCAGGAACAGTAGTCGTATTCGAAGTACAGGTATCTATCGACATAGGTTCTTTCCCTCCCATCGACGATTTGTTATTCTTTTCCAATGGCTGTTGAAACGAACAAAATTATAATAGGCAAGTGTTTTTATTTTAATTACATGCTAATTTTTAAACATGTATATTCACCCCGTGAAGTTCTAGTAGATCTTGCACCTCTAAACTCTGGTAGACTTGTTGTCTGTATTGTTGCGCTTGTGCTTTTTTCGCTTTGGCCTTGTCATAATCTTCTAACGCTATGGCATATTTCTTTTCTAATTCATACTTCCCAAGACGTTCTCCGGCTTTTCTCAGGTTCTCCATCGCTACTTTAAGCTTCGAAGCATACTCGAATCTCTCCTCTAAAAGCATAATTCATACAGTTCGTATCTTCATAAAATGTTTATTTATATCTGAACAATACGATTGTTATTAGACTGCAGATTTTAATGGGTTTATTAGAGACTAAGAAAATGCATGCAACGCATTGCACATTATGTAATATATAATAATAAGTATATGCATGAATATATATAATAAATATATCATATAATAATAAATGTAATAATCATATAAAATATCCAAAGTATTTATTATAACATACAGGATGTCCAAAGGTCTAATATTTAAACATTGTCAGTGTATTTCGTAGATAAAAAAATAGGACTAAAAGTCTATAAACGCTTTATTGAAAAGTTATAATAAATATATGAAACATGACAAATATGACTGTTTCTCCTAATTTAACACAGGATATCCTGTTAAACAAATAACATTAACAAATTTCTATTTAACTAATGTTCATCAAAATTTAAAAAACCACAGTCTAACTATTATACACACCTTCTACAGCCTGTAATTTTTTTGCTTCCATCTGTCTTATGATTTTGGCTACTTCACGATCGACATACATTTCAAATGCTAAATCATCATATGGGGACGTGTAATGGGGATTGTATGGTGCGTCTCCTTGGCCGGTCAGTTCTTGCCCGTAAGGTTCACCAAGAATGTTAATAGCGATAAGACCGACCTACAATTCCAAATGACAGCTGTAATGCTTTATGTTACCTATAAACTAGTATCCCGATAATAAACATTGGGACTACGTTTCGTCTACTAACTAGGAAGGCAGATATTTAAGAAATTGAAGAGAGCTGCAATGAGAAGATAGCTCCAGTTTCAGATAATTTTAACAAACCAGCTAAAAAATAATTTAAAATTACGTACCCTTACAAACGCACTATAAATTTATTTATTTAGTTTAATATGTTGCAAAATTTGGAGCTGTTATATATTAAATAAAAAATCACATTCAATGACAACTGCCGGAACGAAGAGGCAGCTTTACTTTCAGATAATTTTAGTCAGCTATAAAATTGCAAAACTATCATGCTTATTACTTGAAACTGACGTCTTCCTTTAATTCAAATGAAAGATTACTTTTTTCTAACGTAATATGTAGCAAAAGTAAACAGCAAATCCTTTAAGATTCTTAGCGAGAGTGAGAAATAATGGAAGGATGGAAATGTCGAGGCAAAAAATGTATCCGCTATCACGTATGTATACCGAGAGATTATGTACCTGTTGATAAACATTGTGCGCGTTACTGTGCGGTTTGTGAAGTCTTAGTTTCAGCGAGATCGCCTCTGTTTCTGGAAGGGCGACGCTTTTCAGCTCTCTACTTTTGTACATGGTCGATGCATTGTCCGACAGCGTAATGTAACCCAAATAACTGAACTCGGTCGTCACGGATGCATTCTCTTCCCTCGATGTCCAAATCTCGAGTTTCTCCGCTGCAAGAGCATTTGACGATGATTATCAAGACGCTCCCCTCTCATTGATGCGTCGTTGCGAAGAAGAAAGCAGGAATTTGGAGAGTAAAAAAAGTTGCACGGCATTCAGCGGAATAAGAGTGAAGTGAAGAAGAGAGAATGAAACGAGAAAGGCAGAGCAGCCTAGCCTCGGGAAATCGAGGTTGCCGTGCTAATTCGTTTTTCATTGTTAGCGAATTGCTTTCTGGAGAATCACTCCGGCAGAGTGGTATTAAGTTTTCATAAAATGATTCATGGCAAGAAAGATAGGGAAGACAGGAGTACGATACGACACGTTGTTTGTAAGACAGGAACTTACGAATTAAATATTGATGAGCTAAGACTTGTATTCTCGTAAGCTTCGTCGGGCCGTGAAGGCGCAGAATAAGTTCTTGAGGATATGTACACCTTCTTGAACTTTGCCATCCCCTTACCGTCGGCCCGTGAACATTCAATTCCAGCGAAGAGTGCCTATCTTCTTCGCCTGTGATTATTCAAAATATTACAGCATATAAAACCAGACATATTTTAACAGATAATATAATGAATATTCTCGTCTTTGTGTTACTCTTTGAAGAATAGTTCTGATCGAATATATACGCTCTTTTCTTTTTTTTTTAATTTCTCTAACTTTTCATCCGCGTGTGGTTCTTATTTCCCGCGATTACCTGCCTTCCTTTTCTGAGCAAAAATGGAGATAGTAAGAAATATAATCGATAATGTTTTAACTCTGAAATTATACTTTCCACGATGGACTGTTAACACGAGACCTCGTTACGGAATACCGCACCTTGGTTCACGCTTCGCAATCACAACAATCAAGAAAATGCGTTACATGGCTATTCCTGGCGTTTGTCAATTGAGAGAATAGTTGGTGTAATATTTAATCGTTCGGCAATGTAAACCGGGCGTCGATTACGAGCATTCATTATAATCTATGCAATCTGTAACGAGACGCGGTGAAGCACGTGTCGAGTCGTTGTTGTCTACTTGTTTTCTTCTAAAGCAGCAACTTCCGAAGAATGAAATCTTCTCCGCGTGAAAAGCAAAAAAGAAAAAGAAAAAAAAAAATCAATGTTCACGCGTGCGAACGATTTCGTAATTTTATACCTTCCGATGAATTCTGTTTCAAAGAAATCACATATATATCTTATACTGTCATTCCAATCAGCGAGAAATCTACACACAACTGGAGGTTATCGTCGTTCGATAAATTTCACAATCACAATCTGACGTTCTCTTACTGGCTGCGTATACGACGTTGAATCCAATTTTCCGTGGCATGTCTGGAGGTGACTTCCTAGCGGTGAAAACAGCGCACCGGAACCATATATATATACTTGAACGATTGAAAAAAAAAATAACGTGTACAACAGGAGAAGGGGAAATGAAAAAACGTCAAAATCTAAAAGGCACAGCCATCTGAAAGCTCGATAAGGGGGAGCTTGCAAGTTTCACCCCGGCGCGTAGGCAACGCCACTTGCACGTCTGGCCGCGGCGAAGCTTGCGACAGAACTGACTAACTGCACTCGTTCCGCAAACGGATACTCTGATCTCGAGACCTCGAGCATTTTCGCTTGCCAAGAGAGACACTCTTGTATTCCCAAGCTCTTTTATAGAGAAACAAAAAAACCGATGATCGATCGAAACAGCACGATAGCTTTCTTTTTTTAGAGCAGATTTGACGTTTCTACAAGGGCTAGTAAAATGTCGAAGATTCTGATTCGTTGTAAGTTTATGTGAAAAAATTATTCTCACTTATTCATAAGTAGATCAAATAGGAAAGTACGTGTGAATTAATTTTGAAAGTGTATTATATGTCGTATTATATGGTCACGCGTAGATAAGACGTTGAATGTATGTATGTATATATTTTTTTTCACATCTTGGCTAGTTTTCGTACATGGCACATTGTGGCACCGTCTTGTATTCTGTTCAAGTCGAAATATAGACTGTAATTTCGTAATGGATCAATAAACGGAGGCTGCGTGACGTCAGAGGGTGCGGCGAGGGTGGAATCGCTTGCTAAAATCGTTATATATGTATCGTGTCTCTCATTCACGACCACGTGTGCGTGCACGTGCTCCTTCATTTTTAAAGTACGCATTTATCCTTCATTAATTGAAAAATCTGAACTGTATCGAATTAAAAAGAATCAAATAATACATGTAAATTAAATGTTTATTTAAAAAACATATTTATAGATATTTTGATTTATATAAATCATTTTGATATATATAAATTAAAATATCTATATATTTCTTATGATACAAGGAATATTTATTTTTATATCTTCTTTTATTGTTACGTAGTTGCAAAAAGATACAAAAGACCTTTTACGAATTGAAAAATTTCTGATCCTCCCAGCTTTGATTCTCCATAAACACGGTCGACAAATGTGATTGGAACTTCTCCTATAGTGTATTTGAATTGTCTAGCTCTTACAATCATCTCCATCTGGAAGACATACCCCTTTGATACGCAGGACTGAGTAAGTTTCTCCAATACGTCTTTCTTATATAGCCTGCAATTTCAATACTGTAAGACATTTAGGACATTACAAAATTCACGTTCATTAATGTTCAAATTATTTGCCTGAAACTTCCTGTGAGATCACTGGCACTTGGCCTCAGCAAAAGTTGAGTCAAAAAATTTGCTCCTCTGCTTATTAATTTCCTTTTAAAGTCCCAACCATAAACTCCGCCACCTTGTGCATATCTGGTGCCACTAACGACGTCCAGATCAAGATACCTCTGCTGCTCTATCATTTTTGGTATGAATTTGGGCTATGAAAATAAAAACATACGTAAAATTTGACATTTCTGAAATATCTCTTTTGGAGAGGAAGATAAATACATGATGCGACAAATCTGCATCCATAATGACAATGAAGTTTCCTGTAGCATGTTTAATTCCATGCATATAAGCTGTGCCTAGTCCAAGCTTCTTTTCTCTTGGTCTCAAAACTATCTTGTTCTCTCCGTACACGTTCTGCAGCTGTTTGGCCATGTCCAACGTTCCATCTGGTGAACCATCGTCTATCACGATAATCTCATAATCAAGTTCGCTAGAATGTTGTATATTTTCGCTTGACTGTCCAGTCATTTCGATTTCATACTTATAATTGTCTAATTACACTGTGCAGAAGCGACTCATTGTCAGGCTTCACTCAGATTTGAGGTTATGTCGCCATGATATTTACCTCTCGTCCATATATTTCACGATAAGCCAAACAATTATCGGTAAATTCTCGATTTCATTGTAAGTTGGAAGCAAAATCGAGTATTTGTCATTCCTTGCCAATTCCTTTATGTCTTTTTTCGTCTGATCTCTCTCGACCATGTTCGACACTGATATACTCGGCAGAGAAACGCGTCACGAACGAACCCTTCCTTATCAAACGTCGCACTGACAAACGCGGCGGAATAATCCACGCGGCTTCGGGAAATTTGTCAATAAAGTAGTCGTCTTTCGGTGACGTGTCACGGCGATAAAACCAGTGCTTTCGACTTTCATTCATCGAGTCCTCAGATTCATACGAATCGTTCAAATATTTGAAATTCCGGACAATATGGAGTCTCGAGTACTACCGGAGAACGGCATGTATGCACGTATCCGACAAAATCTAATGCAATACACGTATTAATTAAACTGCATCGCAATCTTTAATCTTTAATTTTTCCATTTCTACCGGTAAGAAAATTTAACGTTCGTCGCGATAAAACAGAGGCGACTGTTTCAGGTGGTGCGAGAAATTGGCGCTGCCCGTTTCAAGCCGGGACGTTTATTGCATCGAAAACGCTTCGGGTGAAGTGAGATTCGGCAACGCGACGGCGTATAAACAGAAACATAAGACAATTGCAATTAAAAGAGTCGGGTGCCAAAGTAACGCGGACCGCTGCAGTTTCCGTCGCGTGTAACAAAGGTCGACCAACCGGCGTCCCCACCACAATGAGAGGCAACAGCGAACCACGGCTGCGACCCCCCACCGCCGACCTCGGGATCTTGTGGAGCAGCCGCCGTCCCGAAGCAAACGACGCTCCTCGCTGCACTCTTCGGTCGTCTACGGACCTAGAGTGTTCGTTCTGTTCACCGAACCGGTGTGGTCAGCGTGTGTCACTGCGATTTAATCGACGTGTCGTCGGTACGTAGAACCCGGTGAAAAAAAGCGACGCGTGCAGACGAACGAGCACGTGAGTCACGGCTCGAGCGGCTGTTTCGCCTGTTTCGAAAATTCGCGCGATCGTCGCGGCAGGGACGATTTTGAAAAACGTCCGCTGGTAGTCCCTCGAGGGGATTTGCTAAATCTCTCGTGGGTGTGTACATGTGTGCATGTGCTCCTGTGTGAATCGTAAAGTGCGATCACCGCGTGATTAGTCGTTCACGATTGAAAGCTTGGTGCTTGCGGCGTTGTCTCGCAAACAGCTCGTGTTCGCAACAGCTCGGCTGGCGTGATGTATTGTATTCTTGGGTTGACGTTGCCGGTCGACGTACTCGGCGTTGTCACCCGTGGGGCTGAACGAAAAATTGACAGGGGCTGATCGTCTCGCGTCAACGCCGAGAAGTCGCGAGGAAGAGACGGCGCGCGATTCTTTCTTTCCTTTTTTTAACGAAAAAGGTGCGCTGCGTCGGCTGCAACTTCGAACGGACACTGCAGAGGAGTCGCGGCTCGCGATCGAGCGCACGAGGTTTCAAAATTTGACGCGAGTTTCAACATTTGATACGGTGGGAGAGTCTTCTGTTCACCTTTGAAAGAAGATGAAAAAAGGACGAGACGGTTGATCCGCGTCGCGTGCAGGGGTGGTGACCTTCCTTCGAAACCAGATCGATGTTGCATGGCCCAGATCTATCGGTCGTAGTACTACTGACATCGGGATTAATTAAACGAACGACGACACGGCTCGTCGTCGATCGGGATTCTTTTCTGCATCGGCAGCATTCGAGGCGATGATCGCGGCAACAAAGCCCAGTGTGGTATTTCTGGTCCAGGTAGCGGGCCATGCGGCATTTTATATGGTCGGTGGGGAGGGGGGGAGGAGGGGAGGGGGCGGATTTAGGCGAAGACTGTCGGAGGAGCGGAGAATCGGGCAGGCTGGCGAGCAAGCGGACTGGTTCGAGCAAATACCAGCAAGCATGGCGTACGCTGCACGAGGGGTAGATTGGTCCGCTCCGCACCCTGCGATCAATAAACCCACCGAGAGGGAGCAGTTCCGTGACGAGCCGCACTACTCCGTGCCTCTCTGTTTCACTATCTTTCTCCTTCTCTCTCCTCCTTTCCCTTCTCTTTCCTCCTTTCTCCCATTTCCTCTCTCGATTTCTCTCATTCGCTCCTTCTCTCTCTCTCTCTCTCTCTCTCTCTCTCTTATTCCCTTCTTTCTCTTTCTCTTGTTCCGTCTCTCTTCTTCCATCTTGTTCGTCTCTCCCCCCGTTCGCTGCCTCCTTCCCACCTAACCCACGCTATCAACGATTCAGCACGTGCACGCTGTATCATCGGTGCTTTTGAAAAACGACCGGTAACGTGTCCCAGGGATTATCGCGAAACCGACGGACGCTAAAGGCTTCGCGCACTTTCAGTTTTCACGCATTGATTTCCTTTCTTCCCCGGGTTCTTTTTCCCACTCTTTTTTTTTTTTTTTTTTCTCCCTTGCCCGGTTTCGTTAGCCAGCGCTTTTTAGCCAGCTTCAAACCAGGCCTCGTTATAATATCGTCGTGATTTCCAGCCAGCAGATGCGCTTGCTCCAGGATGTCGTTCAGCTGCGCCGCTGAAGATTTCAAAACGCTACCGCTTCTTTTCGTTTTCCTGCCTCGGTTTTGTTTTCTTCTTTTTTCTTTCTCTTTGCTCCGCCAAGGAAGAACCAACCGCCTGGCTTCGCGATAGAATGATCGGTCGTATAAGAACGTAGGAACGTAGGAAACTACTAAAAGTACGACCGATGCCCCGCTTCAGCTTGATCGCATGCACCGATCGCGTAGCGTTCGTCGTAGCGAGCTTGAGGAAATTCGGCGCGATCGTCGTGCAAAAATTAGCGAGAGAGAGAAACGGCCGACCGAATGAAGGCCTTGAACCGAATAAAGGCCACTCAAAAAGGAAAGGAATCGGATATATTTATCGGTGTGACATGGGAGGGACTCGCGTGCATCTCGCTCCGGGGATAAAGACCACTGCAGGAAGTAGTTTCGACCTATTTTTAGAGTTTCTTTCACGTTAGCGCGTGGCTGTTGCGATCACAAAATACCTTAGCCCGCGCGATTTTAATCCCCTGGTGAATCGGCCAGCTTCAAGGTCGCGTGTTTTTCTGTGAAATCAGGTGAGAATCAGTGCGATCAAGGAAGACAGGATCAGAATGTGGCGTGATCCTCCTGGAGGAGGGTATAACATACCCACCTATTTAACGATGATGCTTCTCTTAGCTCTCCTGGCATTGACAAACGGTGAGTCAACCAACTATAAAAGAACGTGTCGTTAGCAATCGTGAGTTGCGATCGTTCGTATGAAATGAATTTTTAAATCGATCTGTATCAACGATCTGTCGCAATTAAGGAAGCGAACAAAAATCATTAACACTGCGATGACGTTTACCCTGGTGTCATGTAATTTTCCGTGGTTAGCATCTGTTGAGAAACAGATTGAAACAGATTTTTTTACATTCACTTATTCATTATTTAGTATGTCTACTTTCTTACTTTTTTGCTGATTCATAGTTACTGATCTTTTATTTTTTTTTTTTTTTTTTGTACACGAGGAGAATCACATTTTGTAAAACCACGAGAGTGATTCAATAATTATCCGCGATGTGTAGTAATATTTTCTGTGTATATTGGTTTTAGATATAGTACAAGTCTTAACAAGATAGTTTACTTTTTTTTTTGTCTATCATGAGAGTAACAATGACTGTTTTATGTTCGCACTGGTTATTCAGGAATTTATGGTCTGAAGAGATACGAGGCGCTGAAATCTATAGAAAAACTTTCAGCACGATACGAGCACAGTGTAATGTGCATAAGTGGACTGTGATAAGTTTAAAACTGGTCGCAAAGAATCGAAGGAAGCGGTGCATGCACGGCTCGCTTCTTATTGAACGTGTGTTTTTCTTGTCGATAAAGATAGATCAAGTGCGTTGACACGCGGAGAATCATATTGAAAAACAATTTTGTTGTTGCAAGATCTCTGTTTCGATCAATTTTTTAATTATATCGCGGATAATTGTTGAACCCACCCTCGTGTTACCACAATTAGCCAATCATGTTATATCGTTAAAAAGGGTAATGACTCGAAGAAACGCATCTCTGCGCTGCAATCTTGCCTATCCAATCGTTCATACTATACATATGTGCATCGAGCACATGCTGCGCGCGATGCAAGCCTCGAGTTTAGCAGCTGGTGCACTAACTTATCTTTCATTTAGCAATCTTATCGTGCTCGATCAATAGGAGGATTAAGTACAGCTAGCCCTGAAGTGAAATTTTTGCTATCAATGTCACGTTGCGTCTGTAAGATAATTCAATGCGAATTTGCTTATAAAAGTTCTTTCGATATTCATTCATGAATATCTGAATTCAAATATTCAGATACGATCATAGAAACGAGGATTGCGTTCAAACGTCCGCGCCTGGCTCGGCCCAACGAGCAGTTTCTCGAGGGAATGAGATGAAAAATCAGTTAGACGGATGGAATCACGGGTTGCTTTATTTCGAATCCGTCAGCTCGCGAAAGGTTCACGAGAGGCGTGCAATGTAGGTAGAAACGGAGCACGGACTGCAGCTGCCGAGGTTGCGGCTAAGAAAGAGGGGAGTAGGAGGAAACCAAGGGAAAGGAACAGCTGCTGTTCCCAGAACGGACGGCCGTGCTTGAAACAGAATCGTGGGCTTACTTGTGCGACGCCAGGTGAATCTTTTGATTTCGCATGTATCACGGTCTTTAACGTGAGATGCCTTGACGATGATTCGGCAGACGGTAGAAGATGAATATGGGGGGATATCTACCAGAGGCCGCGTCGTATTGAATGAAACGTCGTTGTGCGAGAGAGCAGCCAAGCAGATTTCACTCTTTCAGTCCCAGTAAATCGTACGCATTATCGTGCAGCTGGTGTTTGGACAATTGTAAATTATCGCTGGTGAATTTGTTTCTTTCTGTTTAATTGCAACGTACACAGTTCATAGAATGACTAACATCTCTCTCTAGTAATGATTGAAGGTGGCTGAAGATTAATTCTTTGGCCATATCTAATTAATGCTGAGATACTGAGACTGCTTTCAATCGCTATAAATAGCTGTCTATTAGAAATGAATCTTTGAAACTTGAATGATAAAGATATATAATAAAGATCTCTTGATTGCGATTGAATTTAGCAAAGCATTCGATCTAAGTTGTAGTAAGATGTAAAACATTATATACTTTACAGTAGAAGAAGTGTTAAAGAAAATTATCCACCTTTTTTGATGGAATTCTACTAAGTGTCCAATTGTTTACGCACGATAGTTCCAAAGGAAATGAATCTTAATGGGAAATAAATATTAAATTCTGTTCGATTAAAGCTTTAATAGCTTATTAGTTCTCCGAGGGCAAGCATATCTATTACATGTCCGTAGAATATAGGTCATTCGTGTTTACTCTTCATTTTTTTATTGTTCTTGGCTTCCAAAAGACGTAAAAAAATTTTTCACAATTTAATGAAGCTTTTTGCTATGATATTACATATAATCAATGTTTTGGAAAAGAAATGGCAAGAACAAAGGAATGACTACAAACAAATTATCTAGTAAAAAGATACAGAGATGTTCCACCAAACACACGCGAACATTCAACTTATTGTGATGTGTGATCGATTTGATTCAGCGTTGCAAAATAAAATGCGGAGTAGACACGATCCTTGGCCAACTCCGTTCCATCAGGTCGATCGTTGAATGAACAGTTTGTTCATTAACAAAACACACGCGAGCAAACGATCCCGCGATAAGAAGGCGAAAGGAAGATCGATCGATGACCTGGGAAACCCGGTGTGAAAAGCATTTTTCGCAAAGTTCCAGCGTTACGCGCTCACGATCAAAGACGAGATTCTTCCGGGTCGATAACCGCTCTGCTACTCTATATATAGGCAAAAGTGACGTCCGGAATATGCGTTGCATCAATTATATTTCCAGCAGAGACACGCGTTTTAACGTCCCATTCGCACGATAGGAATAATACACGTGTGACTCACGCGCCTACGTTTCCACGCGTGTGCATACAGTCCTGTCCATAAGTTACCGGACACTTGCTCATTCTAAACAAAACGATCGTCACGATTATTAACCCGTTCGCTACCATGATGTCTCGCCAGAATTATATCGGTTATGCAATACCACTGACGAGATATCTCGCGTTCCTGTCTCTCAAAGGGAGAGATATATCTCGTAATACAAAATGAAGTGAAGGATTGTTGTATTTAACAGACAAATAATCATTTAAATTTAAAGAAGTATCATTTGCTTGGTGAAATTTTATTTGTTCGATCTCTTAATTTTTATTTCGAGATGTTCTTGCTCGGACACGTTTGAATTACTATTTGAAATTTTTAATTTTAATCGAAAGGAAGATTTGTGCTTTCAAATTCAATATAAAGGCGAATTAATTAACAGCTATTTACGTAAAACGTAGAATAATGATTTAAAATGGAATTCGAGTATCTGTAACAAATTATTTGAAATTTGAAAGATTTAGAGAACAATAATAAAGTGAAGGTTGCGATATAGTCATCGCAGCCACGAATTGTCAGGTCGTTCTCAAAGTAAATCGTAATCGCACCTTAATTTTATCAAGTGTCCGGTGATTTATGGACGGGAGTGTACCTTAGAACTCGCGAGATCGTGACGGACATAATAATTAGGGTGAAAGACTTTTGAAGAGCTCCGAGGTCTTCTACGGGCACCTGAAAATCTTTTGCCTACCGCGTCTCTTGCTCTTCTTTTCTTCGATGTAATCGCCAGGTCGAGTGGCGATAACTTATCTCTCGTTAAGTCGAACAATTCGCGGATCGTTTAAAGTGGAAAGGGTCATGTCGACGAAAGCTACAACGCGAGAAATACGTAACTAAGAGCGCCATAAATGAATTAAATAAATAGCGTTTTTTTTTCAAATAAAACAGAAAATAATATGCATAAAAGATATAAGTGATATAAATTTTGTCCAATTGATCTTGCCAGTTGAATCTCTACTTATTTGAACCTGAACTTCTAATTACGCGAACGAAGAATCGCTAGTAGAGCGAATTTCTGTTACACGAACTCCCTCAATTATAATGTAAATTATCCCCTGACAAGTTCATGTAAATTTTTACTATAAAATAAATATAAATACGCATGAAGGCAGCGAATGTTTCGAAAATAGACATGGGAGAGGCAACGCGAGATTTGAGAGGGAACCAAAGAGGGGGAAGAACATGCGCCGAGCTCCGATACGAAAAAACTTGGTAACACCTGTTCCTCGTACCTGCGCACCTCCTGTCGCTCGCCTAGTTGGCGTACGCTTCGCCAACCGGTTCTTCGTGACTCGGAGTTTACAGCGTTCTGCGTTTATCCGTTCTCGCCTCGTGGTAACCATGCTTATAAGCCGGCTACGCATCGCGAAAGTGGAACAAGGGACTCTTGTATAATCGTAAACATGCGGAAACTGGCCTCGAGGTTGGAAATAGTCAGGAAGGATATGGGCAAGAATGAGCAGATTTAGATCGTGACGTAGCTGATTAGCTCTTTGGGACATCTTGGTACGAAAAATGTTTCAACTTCTTAGTGCTTGAATACGTTATTCATATCACCATCAATTAAAAATTAATTTAATTATTATTAAGTTGAACTGATTTAATAATCAAATTGATAATGATGAAATTTGGTTAATTTAATTAATTTAAAGTCTTTAATTCTTAATTTCATATTTTATGACCAAGAAAAAAAACGATTGTGCACGTATAGTCATTACCATTAATATCCGGACACTATTAAATTCTGAATAATTAAGGAACAGTGGTATTAATCCCCAAACTTGCAATTTTTAAACGCATTTTTTTGAAACTCGTATTTTTTGTTTCTATACATCCACGTACCTAGTGTCAACGGATTTTTATTTTTAAAAGAGTCGGGATAGTCGAGTTTCTGACTTTGGCATGTTTATGAGAGGGATTTGTACCTAAGAAGGAGCAGAACTAATAAAGAACATTGTACTGACGAGTAGAGCTAACAAGCGATGGCTGGACCACACGTGCAGGCGTCGGGTGTCGTGGAACTTTCACATGAAGGAAATAGTAAACAACCCAACGTTGCAATGGTTGAAAATAGAGGTATTGTTTCTTAAGAATCTGGCCAGAGTGAGAAGATACCCTAAAATCTTGGCGAGCTAATTTGGAGCTATTAGCGAAGCATTCACGTATAATTTTTCGTAATCAGTACTTTCAAAATCAATACTTTGAAATTACAATTCTTTAACGATGCGTTGCTTATATATTTCTCTAAAAATAAAGAGTATCTCAAGTTTAAATGTTATTAGCACATACAAATTCTTATTAGTACATCGATTCTTTGATCGAGTTTTATTACTAACCATCCCCTTAAAACATTACAAATTTTTTTTTTGTTTGCTGAGCAAAAGCGTAAAATCGAAATATAAAAATAGGATTTTCTAGTCAGCTGAATAATTATACCACGATTTAAACCTGCTCACTATGCTCTTATTGCTAGAACACTTATTGTGTTAGAATACTTTCGCGGGAAAATTTGTAATCGAATATTGCCACCTATGTTCACATCGAATTTTGTCGAGGCACTACATATCGATCTTTTACGATCGATAGTGATTGCCCTCGATGCTCGCGAATGAAATTGGCATCTCTGCAACGGAAAAGGAATCACGCATTACGTCTCCCTTATGGTCACGTGACGTTGATAGCATATTATTCAATAGCAGACCGGCAACCTGTTGTTTGCTGCAATTGGCGACGCGCCAATTGAACGTGGGTGTCGTGTATCCTGGTGGAGCCGTTGGTAAGCGAGTCTGAAAGACACGCAACAAAAGTTCCTTTTGCCGGTGACAGTTTCGATTAATTGGAATCTCCTTCGTTGCATCGCGAATGGCACTGCCAGAAGAAACTGATGGACGGTCGAAATCGTTGATGTATTCTCTTGTTAGAGTAGACGCTAGAGAAGACGCTGTTAACATGGTCAGTTTCAAGTTTCTTCTTCTAAGTTACGCCTAATCTAGGTAAACTAATAAGATTATATGTGTTAAAAAGTGGAAGCGAAAGAAGAACAGTTTAGTTGAATTTAACATACATATATTACATGATGAAAATAAGTTATTTCAGTAACTTGAAGAAAAGTGAGGTTAAACGGCTCTCTAACGAAGATCAAAAAATGGAGGCAAATGGATCCAATATGAATCTGAATTTTGTTTTTAGAAGGAAAAGGAAAACAATTTGCATCATGAAAATGATTTATTTTGAATAAGAATGAGGTTAAATGACTCTCTAACTCTAATTCTTTAAACTAAAATCTGCTGTTCTTTTACTATGTGTGTGTATAATCCACAAATGAAATATTTAATTCATGTGTCGTTACATTAGTTTATAGAATAACTAATATGTGTATATTGTATCAGTATTATAAGAAGCTCTGCGAGGAATCTCTATGTTTGAAATGTCAGAGAATGAGTTTTGGGGCTCATGTTGCTTTATTGTGATTGAAAAGGACTGTATTATCCTCCATTATGAGGGATAGCATAGCTTAGGAAACCTTAAAAGTATTAAAAATTAAATGATCTTACTAAATAAAAAATAAAAATGTCAAAGATAATTTAATTTTATTTTAAATATGAATTCTATATTCTATAACTATATACGTACTATATATTTACATATATGTAAAGTAGAAACTTCTATAGTGAAATTTTATCCTACAATCAGTTTCTTTTTGTTTCCATAGTGGCTTGCGCTGAGGACGAATCCATGGGACCAGTATTTGTCAAGGAACCACCAAACCGAGTTGACTTCTCTAATGGAACTGGAGCTGTCGTCGAATGCCAGGCCAGAGGAAACCCCCAACCGGATATCATCTGGGTTCGTGCTGACGGAAGCGCTGTTGGAGACGTTCCTGGACTCAGACAGGTACTTTCCTTTGTTTTAACAAATTTTACTATACGGATAGGATATCCTTTAACCTATCAAAGACTAAACAATGTTTTATTATAATGCTATTTCTTGAAATTTCGTAAAATTATGAGGAATATTGAGCAAGTCCTTGAAATTTATTTTTATAGTTCCAGTATTAAAAAGTTGAGTAATATGAAGTAATTAAAGAAAATTAAGAATGGAACAAATTAATTAACTCGTTCGTTATATAATATAACAGTATTCTTTTATTATAAGAAATTCTGTAGGAATCGTTCATAAGTATTTAAACAGTCAGTTTTAGTAACTATCGTTCATAAGTCAGTATAAACGATTAAAACATTAATAATTTTATTCCATTTTCAACTTTTGTAACAAAAGAAACTTTCTCTACTGTTAATCCTTTATTTCGTCTAATAATTAAACCTAAGTGATTTGCTAAAGTAAAATTGAAACAAGAAATACATTTGCATCGTTCAAGTTCTATTTATTTGCAATGAATACTTACAGAAACTGTTAGTGAGAAACAAAAATCATTTAAGATATATTTGTGCAAAATAATTTTCATCTATCATAGTACCGTCCATTGTTCTTATTAATATCTTAATAGATCCTTTTAGTATCTATAATTGAAGCATTTAAATGATAACAATAACATAATAAGTAACTTTGTCGTGTTCAAATGTATTTAAGTAGTATAGTATGCATTCTTACCACGAAATATATAAAATCGGAATACACAAATGCATGTATAATATGTATTATAAATTTAATTTATTATATTTAAATTATAAATTATATTAAACATCTTCTTGGAACATTACAAGTTCTTTTCGTTTTCTAAACGAAACATAACTAAATGTAATTATAAATATTATATCTAAAAAAAACTCTAAAAAAATAAGGGGAGAGAGGAAAGAGCACAATGATTGTCCAGCGTAAGATATTCGTCCATTCTAGGCATCTTGATTTAACGACAAAAATTACTCGTAGAATAACCCAATTCGGTCGAAAACGATTGACTTCCCACTATCGAATGTTTGCGACACCCACGTGTCACTCGTTTACGTTTATCGATGCAACGAACAATCTTACGTCAGTAACGGTCATTCGACGATTAAGAAGGCCGAATTAATTGTCGCCTCATTAGAGCAGATCTTTGGTGAATGAAAAAATTCTCTGTCTTATGCCAGGTCTTACCAAATGGGAACTTGGTCTTCCCTCCTTTCCGCGCCGAGGATTATCGTCAAGAGGTTCACGCTCAGGTTTACAGCTGTCTGGCACGTTCCCCGGCAGGTTCAGTTCACAGCCGAGATGTCAACGTGAGAGCCGGTAAGTGTTCATCTCTTTCCATGTGAAGATTACGCGGAACTCGCGCCCGTTGCCTGGCCATCTTTTACCAAATATTTTTAATAAGACAGAACGAATTTCCATAAGATGGATCATGAAATAAAGTTACGACGTCTTGCTGTTGTCAGAGTGTAAGAAAACAGGTCTCAAGATCAGTATTACTATAACTAGACTGATTTTCATGCGTTTACGGGAAATTTAATCTCTTCAACGACAAGCTGTCACATAAATTTCTAAATCATTTCTAAGTCGTTTATTTTTTTTTTTATGCACAGTATTTCTCAAATACAACAATGGGGACTCGAAAATGTTTGCAACAGCAAATAAAGTTTTCGGAATTTTTAATTAGGTTTGAAAAGCAGATATAGTTTGTCAACTTGTGGAGCTCCTTCCTTTGGAGTTTTACGGTTGAAGATGCAAAGATTTACATGCAATAGAATGTGCAAAAATATATACAATATTCAAAGTAGAGTATTTATTACAATATCTAGTAAATGAAACAAATTTCTACTTAATCCTTTCGTTACTGATTTTGTTACTGTATTAGGAATAAAAATTTCTTTTATCCTTTTTTTTTTTTACCCGAGAATGGTCAATTTAGATTTCTTATATTTACTTTATCCAAAATTATCCCAAGGATATGAGATTTCTTCATTACACAATAATGATTCATTAGTAATAAAAACACTCTGTTGAATTATGAAGCGTTTGCTCCATAAAGCTTACAATAAATTAAATTACTGATATTTCTAGTAGTAGTCTTGATTTTAAAACAAAAAAATGGCTACGTACACAGAAATTTAAAGATAAAGAAATTGGAATACGAAATTTCGCGATTTAACGAATAATGTTGCAACCAAATGCAAAGAATCAGGACAATCTTCAAAGAGTTAAACTGAAGAGCAATTGCAGTCAGAAATTTGTGGGCCATTATTCTCACAGTAGCGAAAGGATTAAATTCCAATGACATTCAGAATGAGTAGAAGTTCGCAATCATAACTATTTCTATTCTTCAAATTTCACGGTTTGATTGTTATTCAAATTCCAAAAAGACGACAATGGCACGACGTGAGTAAAACGGCCCAGGCACGGGGCACTTAAAACATTTTCTTTCTAGTTGTATCGAACAGCGAATGACCGAGTACCTCGGTATACACTTTTGGGTCAGTACCTCGCGCCATGCGTTTATCTATCGCGACGTGCACGGTGAGCATACGATATCAGTAGCAATTATCGCCGTTTCCTCCACCGATCAGGCGAAATTAGAGCAGGTTTCCACGAGTAATCGCTGCCGCCGCCGTTGTTCGCAAGAACGTTGTTCCGCCGCTCATCGGTTTCTGCTGCGCGGACGCGGGAATCTATAATTAGCGATTATACGCCTTTCGCCCGGTATTTCCGCTTGAAAATTTCGCCGGGAATTATCGCTGAGATTTTTTTTCTCCCCATCGTTCGTCGAACGCGGCAAATTCGCGCGGACGTGCACCCGGTTGACCCAGTTACACGTCGACCCAGTTACAAGGGCTCGCGAGCCAAAACTCTCGAGTGTGAAATATTCGAAATGAAAAGGAAAAAAGAAAAAAGGAAAAACCGGAGACCGAGGGGCGGCGTTTGCTCGCGACTTTCGGCCACGAGTTCTCTTTTTTTCATTTCCAAAAAAAAAAAAAAAAAAAAAAAACGACGAAATCGCAGTGGTGGCGCAGTACTACGACACGGACGTCAACAAGGAGTACGCGATCCGTGGGAACAGTGCCATTTTGAAGTGCGTCGTTCCGTCCTTCGTCGCCGATTTCGTGAAGGTTCTGTCCTGGCACACCGATCAGGGAGAGGAGTTTGTGCCCGGCGACGATTACGGTAGTACTCGCATCGCGTCGTCTGATCGAATCTAAATCGAAACGTTAAAATAGATGGTCGTCTCCGTCTCGTTTTCTCTCTCCCTCTCGAGCAGATCGCCGTCAAATCGCGTTCTCGATACGCGATGAAACCAGCATGTAACACGTCGATGAAGAAAAGGGGAAACGTCGGACGACCGCGTGTGTGCATGACGTTTGTCGAGGCAATTGTTGCACAGGCTACGTAGCCGCGAATCCATAGAAAATGGAACGGTGGACCGAGATCAACGCGGGTCAGTCGCTCTCCGCTCGCATAATCAACGTACACGTTATACACGTTATACGAGAACATCGTCGACGTTACCGGTCTCGTTAACGTTCCTTCCAGCTCGTTATTTCTACAGGGGAGCGTGCCGGCCCAAATAATTGGAGCACATCGTCGACATCGACGTCGACGTCAGACGTTCCTCCCTTACCCTTCTCTCTGCCTCTGGCCTCTAACGCTCGCTTCGTTTCGCTTTCTCCTCCCGTGTCTGCCTCGTCCCCTCGCACATGCGTAGAGACGAGCGTCCACACGAGCATACATGCACATACGCATAGGCACAGACACACGTACACACACGCAGTCACAGAGTGAAGCTGCACCGATCGTTTGCCGACGCGACGTGTCGATGTGCTCCTTCTGGATGCAAGCTCTTTTCTAAGCTCTCTCTCGCGGCTGCGGCGTAAGACGCGACCCAGCGAATCGATCTGCTCGACGACGAGAGATGATGACGACGACGAATACGTCACCGCAGAAGCTGCCGTCAACGTCGTGCGTCCCCAACGATGTTACCCATGTTTCGTCCATGTTCTCTCTCCGTACGTCTCCTCGAGTTTCGTCGAGAAGCACGCAAAACTCCACGGTCATGTACTGGCTCCCAAACAGCAACAAGATCGATGACAGTCGCGCATAATATTCATCACGGATTTCGTTGCACGCGTAGATAATCGCCGCGAACGCGCGGAACATAGTCGGCTGGTTATCGGCCATTTCCGTTCCATTCTAGTGGTACACCAGTATTATCAGTCCGAGGTAAACAACGAGTACGTGATACGCGGCAACGCGGCTATTCTCAAGTGCAGCATACCGAGCTTCGTCGCGGAGTTCGTTCAAGTAGTCGGCTGGCAGGACGACCAGGGGAACTCTTTTAACCCGGACGAGAAAAACGGTAGGGAGTTAGGTTCTTACGGGAGGGGTAGGTGTTTTTAGGGGCGGGGACAGAAGCTGGCAGCGAGTTACCAGTTTGTCAACGTCGTATGATACCACGGTAACAGCGACCGATCTAAATGGAAAGACGATCGGGGGAACGATCTGTTAACACTGTCCGGCTAATTTGCCTTGTCGTGCACGCTCCTGTTTTCTCCTAGTCGTGACTCAGTACTACGAAGCGGAGGTCGTGTCCGAATACGTGATACGCGGGAACGCAGCCATCTTGAAGTGTACCATACCGAGCTTCGTCGCGGAATTCGTGTCGGTTGACTCCTGGGTAGGAAGCGACGGTTCAACCTTCAAACCGACCAACGACTACGGTACTACGTCTTCATCGTCTTTGTCCTTTCTTCCTCCCCTCCGTATGTCTCTCCCTTCCCCTCCCGAAGAGATTTTTCTCTCTCCTGCACGAGCAGATTCGTTTTTCCCGACGAACTTGGTAAAAGTTCAAAGCGGCACGTGATAACGACCGGTTTCCGGCGCGGTCCACTGTCTGGCGGCATGCAGTTGAACGGCGGCGGCAACGCGACGAGGGTTAACGAACCATTCGCTGCGGCTCTCACGCCGGGATTACGCTCCTCCTCCAAGAAAAACAAATCAACGCGACATTAGCAAAGCGGCCAGCCGCTCGAGAACCGCGCGAGAATCAAACTCTCGAGCTTTGAACGTTTAACCTCCACTTCGTTCAATTCCCCCTCGCCGCGAATTTTCACTCGCGAATCGCAACTGCGTAACAAATTGCGAAGCAGCGCGCGTGAATCGTATTTCGGAGCTGTTCTCGCCTAGAAGCCTGATTTTCCGTGCAGTCGTCACGCAGCCGTATCAGCCGGAGATTCTCACGGAGTACGTGATCAGGGGGAACAGCGCGATCTTGAAGTGCAGCATCCCGAGTTACATCGCGGAGTTTGTTACGGTCGAGGCGTGGATCAGAGAGGACGGGGAGGTGTATCTTCCGGAGGATCCGGCTGTTGGCCAGGGTACTACTACCGGAGTTCGACTTTGCCAGGGCTTAGTTCGACACGTCTCACGGTGGATCTCCTCCTTCCTGGCGAAGGAGGCGCGCGATAACTTCCCTCACCCCCTCGTGTCTCGATTAATGCTGGGTTTATATTATTCGCGTCTGACACGGTTCTATCATTGGATGCTTGTGTCCAGACGTATTAAAATTCATTTATACTATTTCCGACTATTTAGAAAGTTTTTCGATCGAACGCGAGTATTTAAAAATATTTTTGAAACATCGAGACCACTCGAGGTCTGTCTTTTAACGAAATATAATATAAATAGATCATTTTATTTTCTCGCGTAGAATATTCTTTTGTATTTCTACTTTGAAATTTCAATGTTTTCGAATTTTTCGAAACGCTTGCGTTTGATCGAGAATTTCTTGCCAACGATTATTCATATTAAAATCGATTTATACTATCCCTGGCGAGAAGTTTTCGATCAAACGAGCCAAGCTGAGTCATCCTAATCGGTTTGCAAGCTTTCAAAAATTGTAAGAAAATTTTGAATCACTCGTTAAAGTGTTGAAAAGATTTTTAATCATTTACTTTACGCAAACATTACGCAATCACTTTTCAATTCAAATCTTTAGAGGGTTATATAATAGTTAATGACTGATTTTGTTTTTTCATGTATTTCGAATAAATGCAATTTATTTTGTTTAGTTTCCAAAGGTTTCAATACTTTCAGTGTTGTTGAACATTTTCGGATGCCCGCGCTTGATCGAGAATATTCTTGCTTACCCGACACGGAACGATTCCGATACAGACACCAGTATTCATATTTCAGTAGATATTCACACGTTTGTCGAACAGTGATATCCCATTCCATCGGTCAATCAATAGAAAGAGGATTCTTAAAGCTATATAATGCAATATAAAGCAGGCGGAAGTGTTATTTAATTACGTAAGACTCGACTATAATAGCAATGTATCATTAATAGAGCGTGGATTGTTTTACATTAAAATGCAGAATTGTACAGAATTTCAAAGACGTGAAAAAACACGTAAAACATTCAAATCTAAAGTGTAGTGTTTCTCACAATATCTGGCGCGTAAAATAATTTTCTACCGACATCTTATTTTTTTCAAAAATATTTATAAATTCGCGTAAAAACCCGCAGCTTAATTATTAGATACACATGCACAGATGAAATTGAGAGAAAAAGGCAAACGCCTTTTAGTGGTTAAAAAAAAAAAAAAGGAAAATTGAAGGACATTTTACAACAAATTAACAGACAATGGATATTCAACACGTTCAGATCAATCCCATCGCGTTCCATATCCGACAAAGCTATTTTTCGCGTGAACGATGGCCAGGCCAGAAATCGATACTTGTCTGTGCTGACACATGTAACCCATGTTCAAACATTAACACATTCAACATAAATGGAAACTACGTTTCCCTTGTTTAAAAACGAGGCGAAGAATCTTTTTCCCATTATTAACCCGCGACAGTCTAATAAAATTATGAATTTCATTCATTCGAAAATATGCATTTTTACTTTACGTAAAAAATACAAAAGAACATGTTTTACAATCTCATTTTCTAATAATTATGGTAGATTTAGTTATGTTTCATTGATTTTAAAGATGTACCAAGTTTTATAGTTTTCAAAGACAAACGTGTCCCTGTTTTCCCGCCCTCTGCATGATGTGAAAATATCTTTGAGAGAGAATGAATTTAAAAGTGTCAAAATAATATTTAAAATGAGACGATTTTGTCTTTCTTCTAATTTTTTACCTATAAATTCATACGAACGGCGTGCTGTATGTTGTTTAGCTGAATTTTCGTCACAATTGATAATGAATCAAAAGTATTGAAAATAAATTGTTTGGTATCCGACGCTGTATCTTAATTGTTAAGAAAAGGCATAACAATTAATTAAGAACACCGTTCACAGCTGCAGTATTAAAAAGTCGGATCTTATTTGAAATCGAGGGCACGTTTGTCAATATTAAAAAGCTCTTCCAACTGCATGTAAAATATTGCATTAACACAACGTTCGTCCTCGATAGAATTAATTATCATGTTTAAAAAAAGGGACAAAAGGTCTGTTTTCCATTATCGTATTGAACGATTTATTATTGATACAAAAAAAAAAAAAAAAAAAAAA